AAATACCCATTTTATCCCTCTCTTCTCTCTCTCTCTCTCTCTCTCTCTCTCTCCATATTCAGTTTTCTCACAAGCAATTAGCCCAGCTGATACACAATTCAACCAAATTAAGATCAGAACAACAAAAAGCATAAACACCCATTTTACCCTTATTCCCCCTTTCATAATATTAATTAAGCTTTAATGTACATAGGCGGCAGCAAACCCCATGAGAGGTAAAAGCGCCCATCAAAATGACAAAAAACAAAACCAAAAATTACAATTGAATGAAAGGCTCCAAGAGCCCGCATATTACAACAGAACAAACCACCCTTCCTTATGGACCATCTCTTCCCTCAGTCTCACTCTCTCTCTCTCACCTCATGTCCATGTCCATGTCCAAGTTACTACCCTCCAAATCCAAAACCCTCTCATCAGTTAACACACCCTCCACCTCCTGAATTCTCGACCCAACTGATGAAACCCTCGAGATGCCCGAGAAAATAGGCATATTGCCGGAACCAGCCGCCCTCACCAGCTCTGGGGGGCCTGGTGATACCGACATGGGAAAGGGCATATTCGAGGCCGACGCCTCCTGGTTCCCTCCTAAAATAATAGTTATTGGTGAGTTTTGGTGGGGCACAGGTGAATTACCAGCTGTTTTCTTATTGGTGGAACTGGCTGCATTTTGCGATATAGAAGTGCCTTGCTGCTGCTGCTGTTGATTCTTTTGCGGGGGGGATTTGGGGCGAAGGCTCTCTATCTCGGGAGTTGTGGAGACAAGGTGGGGGGCTTCCGGTGGGGGGTTGCGGCCCCCACCACCTTGCCATACCTTGCCTTCTTTGTCAGAAAAACCCTTCACGTAGGCCTGTGAGAGAAAAAGGGGAGATGCGCACTTAGATGATGGTGAGCTGGCTCTCTCTCACACACATACACATGCACAAAAGAAAAACTACTAAAACAAACACCAATTTGTTATCAATCTAGACTTTTTCACTCACACAACACGGACACATGCACACCAAGTGCATTGCACAGTACTACGACACATACATTTGCTTGGGCACATGGTCGCCGAAGCAGATAAGTGAGGAGAAGAAATATTTGAAACATGCGGCTGGTATTCAATGGAGTGTATTGTATGAGAAACTTTCTCCTATGAAAACCATGAGAAAGGCTCGTCTCCACCATCCATTGTCCATTAAAAAATTGCCAAGCTTGGTTAAGCAGTAACCAAGATTACCGCAATATTAGTAATCAGGATGATGGACGTAGGAGATCAACCTTCACATGCTTTTTCTATCAAAGTGGGGCTTCTCATGCAATCTTTCTCATACTATAAATTTGCAATACCCATATGAAGTGAATGAAAAGTCCACAAGTCTAATAGACCATGGGATATGGTATCTCAGGACAACATTCACCACACATTCCTTATGATGGGTGGTAGGAGATTAACCGGAGCAGGGCCAGGACCCCAAGACATTCACCAGGTACAGTCGGTCTCCAATTATCCTTCAATGGGAAGATCAATCAATACAGCCTATTGTATGGATCACTAAGTGAATCATACAGCTAGTAAGAGGACGATAACTTTGGACCCAAGCAGAGAGAGAGTTTGAAGGGTTACTGTTACGTACCTCAGTATTGAAATTCGAAGAAGACAAGCCTTTGCCAACAGTCAGCCAACCCGCACGAATGTTATGGTCTTCACCAAACAGCTCAATTCGCCTCCGGCCCAAAGCAAAATGCTCAATTATGCGGTATAGGTCTTCTGGTTTTATTGTGGAACCTACGATAATCATAAAACCAATTTCACGTCAAGAAACAGAGTGATGACAAATAAGTCGTGGGAGGCAAGGCACACAGGGATAGG